TTCGGTATATAACATTTTCTTAACACCGTGATGACATGTACCAAATATGGGTGAAATCGGTTCACAACCACACCTGAAATCTCGATTATCACTTTATCATGCGAGAGTATAAAATGTTCGGTGACACCCGAACTTAGCCCTTCCTTACTTGTTTATTTATTTATTTATTATTATAAGTATTTTTATACATTTTGAAGTTTGATTAGAAATACGAAAATACTTTTTCAACGACCCAATATTTTCTAAGAGTATCATTACATTGTAGCTCAAGCCAGTCAAGATAAGTATAGATAACGTCGATTTTTGAAGGAAAGTTGTTCAATATTAAAGTTGCCAAATGTGAAAAGCTTTTATGTCTTTCTATCTACTATATAAAGTATGTATTTTACTTGTTTGCAGGCGTTAATTTAGTTATTTAAAAAACAAGCAGAGAGTGCAGGAAAGCAAATATGAGAGACGCCTTACTACCTCCTATGTTTTTGTCCAGCATTATCTAGAACTCGTCTCATAGTATATGTTTAGTAGCTTCAGTATACTTCTGTTCGAATTAAACAGCGCTTCCATCAAGCAATACTAAGCACCAGCAGGTATATGCTTGGCGCGACAGCCGGTGAGTATAATTTAACCTAACCTAAGTATTAAAGAAGAGCTCTCTTGCATATATGCGTATGGCTTAATCTTTTGCCGATCTACAAGTCCAAGAAATCAACAGATCCGGGTACATTGTTCAATAATTCGTAATTATTGTTTTGCACATACACACAAGTGGGAGACAATTAGAGGAATGAGATTCATTGGCTATTAACACCCAGTCTTGATGATTAATAATTGTGTTGAAAATATTAAAAAAATTATTAAACTCGTAACAATGTATATATAAGTTATTCTTTTAATGGGTGCTTCGGTACCCAACTAATCATCTGTAAACGTTAGGCTAGAGTTTTTTGTCGTTATCGCCATTTTTTTAGTTTAATCGTTTTCATTTTTATTTATTCACTCAAGCTTTTTTAATGAGTTCACTGGCTCTTTCTAAACGAAAAC